AACTAAAACGCTAACTAAAAGATAACTTTGAATTAGTATACAAATGCCTAGCATTAAGACTGGCCTTTATTTAAAAAAAGGTACGTATGTAGTACGCCGAGCTGCTAAAACTACGATACGTCTGCAAATATCAAGAGGGCTAAACCTCTGGCCTTAAAGGCAACCAGTAACAGAGTGAAAACTCGTAAAACTACAGAGGCAAGCGGCTCACTCCCTATAACTCCTTCTCTCTCCCGCTTGGCAAAAAGCCACAACTTAAGTACTTGGGCGTTAGCAAGAAAATTTGCATAAACAAGTTAAAGCATTTAATTCTGGCCGAACGTAAAAAATAAGAAGTGATAGTACAGTTTTAAAATAAAATAAACGTTAGTAAAACTTAGGATCCTTACAACCTGATATGTTATAGCAAAATAGAAGAAGTGTTTGAATTTGTAAAATAGGAAATATTAAGAGATCTCTTAAACAGGATAAAGAAATTCATTCAGTTTGAATTTTTATGGCATAGCAGCTTCAACCAGTTCACTGACATGTACTTAATATAGTGAAATTTTATTGTAGAATACTTATTAAGAAAATTATTAATGATTCCTATAAAAGCAAAACATTTGCGTCGTCTAATTTGCTTTTAGATGCTCTCTGGTTCATTAAGGACGTTTTTCAAAAGAACCGTAACCCATTATTTAAAAAATTAAGATTTTTTAACCCTGCTATGTAATTAGAAAATACGAATTACGAACTAAAAATATTTAAATATCTTAAAAACCTCAAAACAATAATAAGATAATGCTTACTAATTCATTTCAACTTAACATCGCACTGTTATTTCGTGAAGTTGAAAATCATGGTACATGCTTAAAAAGGTATTAGAGCGGAAAATGTTGGATATACTTGAGTAACAAGAATCGGCGTAAGTGGAATATGTTTTCAGGACTTATTTTGAATGTTTGGATAACCTGAATATGTCAAGTACTTCTTTAGCCTGTTATTTTAGTTAATATATTATAAATAGTCAGAGAATCACCAAGGTTGGTTTATAACCTATCAAAAATCATTACTGATGAAAATAGATGTCAAGAGAACATTTTTCACATTTTTAGCTCTATATTAGAAATCACGAAAATGCTGTCATTTGAATCTCATCATCTCTTAAATAAATTGAATGCCGTATAAATAGAAAATGTGTCATGAAAACTTATAAAACAAGTTATAGGGTGTTTTCTCCCTCCTCTCCTCCTTCGTGGTGTAACTAGAAACATATTCCACGCGTATTCGAGAGGTCCAGGGTTCGAGTGGCGGCGAGAGCACTGTGCATGTTTCACATCACCTGGTTTAAAATAACTTAAGGAGTTTACAAGTGGCACCCGAACTAAAAGGTGGTGGATAAAAATTCGTCACTGCCAGGATTTGTCGATTGTGTCCGTTAATCCCCACTCTCCCTTTAAAAGGGGGAATATGTAAGGTGAACTATGAACTATTCGAGAGAGACCCAATCCGCTTTGTCCCAGCGGGACCATATGTTTAAAAATAGATCAACCCTCCTCCAAACCAAAACGATGGCAACCAGAGACCCGCGGTTCTTCCTCTCATTAGCTGAGCAAAACAAAAAATTAATTTAAGAGGAATATGTAAGGTATTTTCTCCTTCCTTTTAGCATGCCTTTGTGGTGTAAAGGTAGCACTCTCGGCGCGTATTCGAGAGGTCCAGGTTTGAGTCCCGGCGAGGGCATCGCTTATTTTTCATGTCTGCGGCATATGGCATAAAAAAAACTGTAATGATTCCACAAAATTTAAAACGATGAAGACAAAAGAATATTTTATAATTTGGTACCTAATATTTAAAATTTTACTTTATTGTTTCCTATTAGAACAGCTAATCAGTTTCTTATATTAAAAAAGATTATTTTTCAATATTTTATAATTATGTTGAAGAAGATATTTGTTCTTTGAATCAGTTACAAGTAATTTGAACATAATAGGTAGTTATTCTACCTGCCATGTGTTCGTTTGATTACAAATTCGGAGACAGGCATGTATCCATGCGTACAAACATATCCTCTTTAAAGTATTGTTCCACTAATCGAGCAATCGAGAAGTTATTGTCTTAAAAAATGAATTTTAGGCCAGTTGCAAATACAGAAATACATTTGCAAATGTTTCTTTACTAAGCAAATTCAAATTACAAATCAAAATAGTGTCTCAATATTTATATAAAATCGTGTAACTATAGGAAACGTGGAACAATAAATATAATCAAATTATTAAAACCGCTGTAGAATATTCATACGCTGGAAGGATTAACAAATATAATCTTAATACTCATGATACAATTAAAAATATTGTTGCGTGCGTACGGATTCGTAATAGATTGAATGCACAAGTCCGATAAAAGCTTAATAAAATTTATTCTTATTACAAGAAATATAACCAAACGCTGAAATTTTCCTCAGAGATATTCGTACAAGTGTTCACAATATCAAGCAATAATAATCAGTAGTTATCTTGAGAACTGGAGAAATGCATCAAGTGTTTTCTCCGGAGGGAAGAGCTTGATTTCAATGCGCCACTTCGACGAAATAATTTGGCTTGCAGACTCTCACTCTGGCTACATATGCAGTTTTCTCCCTCCAAACTTTACATACGGCAGGCGCCGGTGAATTGTTCAAACAGTAAGGAGTTGTTCGGCGCCTGGGGATGATAGCTGCAACAATATTAACGAAAACATATTTTATTTAATAATTTATTAATTGTTTAACAACGTGTTGGCTTTATATAAGTAACAATCTCGATTATCCTTAATATTTCAGAAAAGATCAAACCAAATGCATGAATCAATGTGGTACGTGGAGATTACTTTACTAGATCTTAGTATTTCAAAATCTTGTTTCCAAAATTAATTTCAAGGAAAGCAGAGTCGTAAGCTATCTTGAGGGAGGCGGACCCGTCATACCATGCGAGTGAAGAATTGCCATAGGAGCACCATCGAAATTAAACATCCCTTGGAAAATCAAGGTGTTTGTGTCTTGTTAACATAAAACCCGAGTCCAACTACAGATGTCCGCAACAAGCCGCGCTACATATTTATAGCCAATTAAATTATAGTTTTGGATCTTTTAGCGTAATTATTCTAAATGGTCGAGTAATAAATATTTTTCCTGTTGCAAATTCCATCAATAGTGAAAATGGTTTCATTTTTTTGGAAGACTATTATCTGGAAAGGATTTATTTTAATCTAACAGTTTCAAAATAAAATTACAAATAGAGGTATAAGTTCATGATCTCTAGTTACGAAACCCTGAACTCATAACAGTCGGTAGAGATGACCTCTGTTGTAATTAATATCCTCTCTTATCACATACTTATGTTTTCCTCCTGGTGCCATTCTCGTTCTCGGTTTCTTGGAGCAAACAGCACTGGGAGTAGTTTGTGCTGTCTGTAGTACGGGTACAGAAATTTTAACCTAAGCTGTTGTACAGTCTCACATGTGTTACGATGACTTTCACACTGCAATAAAACCCTCAAGCGGTACTCATTCTCAACGAATTTTGGCATCCTATCTGGTAGCAAAAGTCAATCTACTTCTTTCTTGTTAGTATCATCACGTTTTGTGTTCATATCCTCTCAAAATAATACTTTGCCAATTATATAATTTCCATACATTAGCTTATTTATCACTTGTGTGCATATATGTGTACGTCTCCCTGTACTAAATAGAAAATGCCGTAAAATGTCTAGTTGAACCTTCGCAGTTGAAACATCTGCTAATTTTATTTAATTCTTGAGATAGGAATTCTGATTTTATACAGTCTCACACTCTTTGGAAGCTTAAATTATAGACCCTACGTAGAATGCAAAGTAGCAAACAGTCGCTATGACTTTGAATAATAAATACTGCAAAAGAAGGTTTTAAATGACCTTTTTATTTGAACTAAATTTAACAAGATGCACGCACTCGGAGTTGACAATTTACCACCACTTGTGGCTAACTTAAATTTAGCAGAAATTAAAAATGTAACAAATCGCTAATAAATTTGAATGACTAAGGACTGGCTCCTTAGCTTATCTAAACCTCTAAATCTGCTGCACACAGCAAAGCCGAGCCTAGAATATCAGTATAATTTGAAAGGTGTATAACACCGACAAGAGAGCTAATTTCAAACACGCAGCATGAACTCGGAACTAACTCCGCTGATTTCCTCACGAACTCTTGAAACGCAGCTTAAATAGTGCTTCTGAAACGCGTTTAGATTTTGCATACTACGTCATTTAAAATTTACATTCAGGTAGAAAACTTAAATCAGGAAGGACGGGAAAGTTGAACTAAAAACAATTGGTTAGAATAAAATAAGGTCTTTACAACTTCATCAATTTATTTCCAGAAGCTCTGCAAATTGTTTGAATTAACATCCTGTTGTTTATTTCCAAGAAACTGGCTCTGCAATTCTAGAGCAGCTCAATCGAAAGTTAGAAGGACAGATAATAAATACATATAGAGCAAACCCTGCTTAGAGTATGGAGCAAAATGCAATATTTTGAAGAATCAGTTACTGTTATTTGGATGTTATTAGTATAACGGGGAATTTTATAATAGAGAATTCCTTTCAATTCCATTCTTGGAACTCATATTTAACTAATCAAAAAGCTGAATTTTTAAAATATTTTTTGCCTCATGAAAAGTTTGTGAGAGCAAGAAATAAATAAATTAATTAATTTTTATTTAAATTATTTTTATTTGTTATAAATGTTTTTAATTACTTTCTTATTTTTTAAGCAGTTCCGCCCTTTTCTTTTTGCTCGCCTTCGGCAAGAGCCAGGGCTAGAAATTTATAGGGTCAGTCTGAGCATAAAAGCTGTTTAAAAAATGTGATAACCCCAGCCTTTTTTATGGTAAATCCGGATATAAATTGTTTTGTATTATGCTTTTGTATTACTTTTGTATTACTACTGTTGTCATATGTTGATATCAGATCATTATATTAATTCACATTTTTCATATCTACCCAGCTGCCTGAAGCCCCTTCTTAAAGGAGAGCAGAAAATGAAGCATAAAAAAAGTAGTCAGACTATTCATAATGATGCCAAACTTTCGGAGAACAAATCAGATCCAATTGAATTCACCGACATCGTCGGTGGCATTGGCAGGTGGCAAGTTATGCTTCTTCTTACTACTTTGTTATCTGGACTTCCCATTGCATGGAACCATCTTGGAATGGCATTTTTGGCTTTCCCTGTGGACCACTGGTGTGCAAGACCAAATGGAATGAATGAATCGCTAGAAACATGGTTTGCAGATTACCTTCCAAATGAGAAAACTGAAGGAAAGCTACAACACAGTCAGTGCGAAATGTTCGCTCTAAACCAATCTACTGCTGAAGTCGATCGGACAAAGACTGTTCCATGTAACACTTGGGAGTTTTCTACGGGGTACTATTCCCTCATAGAAGAAGTGAGTATATGTTTTTAAATTTATATCAGATGTTTTTAAAACGATAAGCGTAATTATTCTCTATTAAAGTAATTCAAAGTAAATTTAGAAACTTGCAATGCAATGTTGCTTAGATTAGGTATTTGATTAAGATAAAACGCATGAGTGTAATCTGCCTTAAAACGGAGCTTTTGTGCAGGTAATTTTGTACGAAAATGATTCATTTTGAAGTTGTACAACCATCAAAATTTCATGAAAATGTTTTAGCACTCTGAGCTTTGAAAGCGCCTATATCCGGGGGTTTAATCATTCAGCCACTGGTGGATGCAAAAATAAAAAATAAAGAAAAGAAAAGTTAATATATCTTATAAAGTCTGGTAGTAATTATGAGTGAAAAAATTAAAAGTATTAAAGGAGGAAAGGAAATATTGCATGCCTGGCATACATGTTTCTAAAAGTCTTCTAAAAAATTAATGGTCTTAATAGGCTAATAAATAGACAAGTAAGTAATGATTGATTTTACGTTCTTCAAGTCTATATGTCCGAGGTTAGTGATGCGGTTGTTTCTAAACAGATGACTATTTCACAGTGCTATCAGTACTCAATGGGTTAATTTTTTAAGCCATTTAATTGAGTTTCGGCTTCAGCTTAAAAATTTGTTTCTTGTGTTTTATTAATTGAAAATATATTTAATGCTTTGATAGGATAAAATTTCACTGTTTTATTAGTTTATTTTATGGGGAAGGATTGATGATAAGCATAACTACAACTCATGAAGTTAAACTAGGACTTATTTACTTACATTAGAATGAAAAGAAAAATAAAAAGAATAATTGTTAAAATATTTTGGACACGTCTGTCCTGAGTATCGTTCACGTCTCATCTCATCTGACCACACCCCTAATCTAGATGGCGCTCTTACATAATCTTAGTTACAGTTACAGTTCCCACATAATTCGGCCATCCGACATAGTCATCTGCCCTCAGATCACAAGAGCAAACAGTGAAATTTAACATATAAAATAAAGTAAAAGGAAACAAATACTAATACCGTTAAACTATAAATGAAAATACTAAATTAATACAGATAAATGGAAATACTAAATTAAAGAGATAAATGAAAATAATATTCTATCTGGATCTTCTAATAACAGCACCTAGAAAAATATAAAAAATAATGGTTAGTAATCATAATTAAAGAAAATATGGATAGGATTTAAAGTCCAAAGGTGTAGATCAGTTCACATGAGTAACTGTCCATAAAACACTAAAAGTTTAGGTAATATGTTCTGATTGAAGTCCAAGGTTTCATAAATTCTGCGCAAGTACTTGTTTTCATGGGTCCATCGAAGAAACCACATTTTTCAACATCATAAGTGTTATTTGGCTTGATTTTCACGATTTTATAGGGTCCGAAAAACTTGGGTTTCAGTTTAAGACCAGGTCCATATTGTGTACGCTTGATTGCCACTAGATCATGAAGCTCGAACTTACGGGATGGTTTACGTCGCAGATTGTAAGTTTTACGATTTTCAGCCTGGACTTTCAAAATCTGTTGTTTAGCTTCCTTGCGAAGATCATCACGAGCGTTGACGAAATTTGACTGTATCTCTGCATTTAACAGCTCTCAAAATTTATTATGATTAGTAGATTTCATTTTAGTTCCAAACATGAGTTCAAATGAAGTTGTGTTGATACTCCGTTGGTATGTTGAATTGATCCCTTGCTGAACTTCACCGACGTGTGTATACCATTTTGACGGATTTTGAATCGATAATTTGGAAAGAACAGAAATTATGACAGAATTCAATCTTTCAATTTGTCCATTGGCACAAGGGAGTCCTGTAGTAATTTGAATATGCTGAATATTGTTGGTTGAACGATAATCTTGAAAGTCTTTTGATTTAAATGCGCTGATCCTTTGTCTGAAATTATACGCGAAGGATTTCCAAAGACAAATTTTTGATTTTCCAATTTAGATATTACTTCGGCGCTATCAGTAGATTTTGTCGGGTAAAGCCATACAAACTTTGTGAAAGAGTCAATAACAGCAAATATATACTTGTAATTTTTATGAGTACTCTGGAGTGGGCCTAAATGATCAATGTGATATGTGTGAAGTGGTACATCTTGGTTAGGTATAGAATGCAACATACCTTCTTGTTTACCCTATTTACGATTAATTAGTATGCAAGGAACACAATAAGCAATATAGTTGTCAATTTTATCTTTAAGTTTAGGAATATAAAATTCTTGTTTGATGAGTTCTTCAGTTCGTTTAGAAGCGAAATGTCCACGAAGATGTGCGTCCTTAATTATGTCACTCTGCATTGATTCTGGAACAAGAAGTAATTCCTTACCTTCTAGAAATTTATAAAGTATATCAGCTTTAACACAATAGTCATCATAAGCTTTAACTTTTAAGACCTCTTTGATAGCTCGGATGTGATAATCTTGCTCTTCAGTGTTTCGTATTTTCAAAATGAGGCTATCCTGAGTGATGACCATAACAGGGGATCTGCTTAATGAATCAACATGTGTCATTTGTGTTTCAATTCTGTGTTCTATTTTGTAGGCGAAATCTTCTAACATCAATGCCCAACGCGCTATTCGCGTATTTAAGTCTTTGTTGTTCATCGTCCTTTTGAACGCATTACAGTCAGTAATAATTTTGAAGTGTTTTCCTAAAGAATAAACTCTAAATTTTTTGAAAGCTTGAATTGCAGCTAATACCTCGAGTTTGTAACTTGTAAATTTCTTTTCCGCATCAAATGTCTTTTTGCTCATGTAATAAACAGGATGTAGGAAATTATCGGTCATAGAGCTTTGCATGAGTATACGACCACAACCATGAATACTAGCATCCGTGTGTATTTCGGTATCGCTGAGCTGATTATAGATGCTGAGTATGGGTTTTTCCCATAAACGTTGTTTCAAAAGATTGAAAGTTTTTGTTTCGTTGTCACCAAAGTGGAAGTCATTACCTTTCTTAAGGAAATCAGTTAATGATTGAGCAATTACGAAACAATTGAGAATAAATTTGGAAAAATATCCGGCAAAACCAAAGAAACTTTGTAAGTCTTTGTGACTTTTAGGCTCAGGATAATTAAAAACAGCGGCTGTTTTAAAAGGAGACGGGAATAGTTGACCATTTTCGATGACATTGTAAAGTTGCGCGCTTCCAACCTGCACGCAACAAAGTGGTGACTGCTGAAAACTGGAAATTAGACAGAGTCTTGAGAAGGGTTTAAGTCCCTTTTTATTCAACTTTAGAAATTACAAATGCGTGCTCTTGACGCTCACAAACTACGCCGACCCGGCGGTAAAATAAAAATAAGAAACTGAAAAGAGATAATAACAAGTGACTAACTACGAGGCTCTCTAAACGTAACTAACCTCACCGCGTTCTAAAGTACCGCTGATAATTCAGCAAACTCTGAATATTACGTTGAAAGATTAACAAATTGCCGAGACAAGCACACAGGCCGAAACGCGTGGTTCTTCAATTTCTAACTAACCACCTCCACACTCGTGAAGCAAGAAAGCACTCTTTCGAACTCGTTTCCTTTCTATTTAACTCAGAATACTTCCGCTGATAATTTGAATCCTTGCGTGTTCTACTAAAATTTACATACTCTGGCATTGGCAATTCCAGGGGAAAGTAAGGCTTGACAGGAAAGATAGTTTAAACTTAAAATAAATGTTAGTTAAAATAAATATAAACACTACAACATGACCAAGGAATTCAATTCTACGACTAAAAATAATAAAAATTAAAATAATTTTTCGAGTCCATAAGCAGATGCAACTGAGAAGAACGGATTTCAAATGCTGAATCCTTCATCTTTAGCAGGAAATTATGAATATCATCTAGATACAGTAAAACATGACCTTGCAAGATTAAATCCTTGAAAACGGAATTTTGAAAGATCTTTGAATTTACAAATCTTTGAAATACAGAAGGAGAAGTACAGAGACCGAAAGGTACACGTAGAAACTGATATTGTCCATTATGTGTGACAAATGAAGTGTAATGTCGGCTGTTTTTGTCGACACTAACATGGAAGAAAGCATTTTTTAAATCGATTGTAGTGAATGTACGAGCATCTTGTAGTTTATCCAATAAGTCTTCTATTAAGGGTAAGGGATACCGATCTTTAACTATTTTCTTGTTTAATTTTCCGATAGTCAATACAAACTCTAGGGTTGCCGTTTTTTTTACGTTTATTTTTATTTTTATTTTTATTTTTATTTTTTTTATTTTTTGCGTACTACTACAACTTGAGTAGAATATTGGGAAGAACAAGGTTCAATTATGCCGTCGGCTAACCAAACTTAAATTTGCTTGTCTACAATGTCTCTTTCGACAAAAGGTAATCGCCGAGGTCTGTGAAAAATAGGTGTTTTATCTTTTACTTGAATAGTCATCTCAATGTTCGTAGTTTTGGTTTTGAGAGGTCTGTAGTCGGAGACAAGATTTTCAATAATTCTGACTTGTTCTTTTGTAGCAGTAGAACCTATTTCTAGTTCAGATGTTTGATTAAGGGAAATATTATTGATGTACACATATTCCGGATCATTTTGTTTAACAACATGTTTAGAAATATGAAAACCATCTTTGTTTATATATCTTGTATTAGAATATCCATGCCAATTATAGCCTCAAATGGCAGTACATTACTGTTTACAACATAAACATTAGTTGTAAATAATTCGGTATCTATTAAAATATCAGCTGTAATACAACCCATTGGTTTAATTTTGTCATTACCAAAGCCAGTGAGCATATTATTGAAACACGCTTAAAGCGGAATTTCCCATTTGTTTATAAATATCGTTACACAGAACCGTTGCTTCGCTTCCGGTATCAATGATAGCGGGTGTATATCGGTAATTTTGATTACTTTATGGAGTAGTTTCGGCGCATTAAAGTTGATTGATATGACAGCATTCGTTTTTTCAGATGTTGGACTGTTGTTTTTGTCAATTTGCTTCGGAGTCTTCTTAACACAGGTAAAGGA